CCTCGGGGGGGGGGCCCTCCCCCCCGGCCCCGCCCCCTGCCCTGGCGGAGCCTGAGGCTGGAATCCCACTGGAGGTCTGGCGCGCCGGGTAGCTATCGAGCTGGTGAGCACTGGCCTGTCCGACCCGGGCCAGGCTCCCAACGTCTCTTTTAGGCCCTCGGACTCCCAGCCCTGCAACACGGGCCAGGAAGCCTTCCTATGCCGAACGTAGGCGGTGGGAAGTGGGGGGAAAGCCTGAGTCCTGGAACAGCACCATATAGCCTATAGTCTCTTGGCAGCTGTAGTCTCAAGAAGAGGGGGCTCTGCCCAGCTCCCCCAATCTGACCCAAAGGGCAGGCAGCACCCACATAGAAGACCCACATGGGTAGTCGCCAGGGCGGGAGGCCCTGCAAATTGGCATCCCTAGTTAGGAGTGGTAAACACATGGGAGCGAATGAGCACATAGTGTAACAGTGAGAGGGGCCCTGGGGACAGAGCCTCCTTTCCCACCCCAACGCCTGCAAGGCCAAACCTTTCCCATCCAGGGGTGTGGCCGCCTCTGCCCCTCCAGTGTGGCACTGAGTTTCCCAAACTATAAAAGTCACCTGTGACCTGGGTAGACCGCTTTCTTCCCAGCCTTACCACTTCATGAGCAGCAGCATCCCAGGCGACCCAGACTGGGACATGGGGCCACAGGGGAATGTGGCACCAACGTGCCCATCTGACCTGACCCCTGACTGGAAGGTGAAGGTCCAGAACTCCTAGTCAGATGCTCTGAAGGAAGCCTTTGGCCATTTCTCCATCCCTTGTCAAGGACATGGACCCAGTGCTTGCCCCAGTCCCCGCACAAGCCCTGAGGACCATCCTGAAGCCAATATCTATAGGCCAGACCTAGGCCTCTGAGTTTCTCACCTGCCCTGGGGTGGTGGGATCATCCCCAAGTTTCAGCCAGGGTGAATGAGGCTCCCAAGGTGAATGAGGCTCCCCCTCATGGATACTCCTGGCTGATGACAGGAGGGACTGTCGACCTGAAGAGGCTGGGGCTGGCCCCTAAAGGCTAGTAGCCTAGGAAATGATTGCCTCAAGCAAGGCCCCTCGACAGCTTCCTCCAGAGGGGGGATTGAGGAGCCTTTCACAGCCTTCTCTAGCTTTGGGCCCCTCCTCTAGACCAGGCTAGTGCCACCTCTGGACTCCCTGGGCTCTGAAGGGTCTTGATCATGCCACCAACCCCACCACTGGGTAGGAATCTCCTGGCAGGCTGGGCATCTGCAGGGCAAAGCCTTTTTCTTGTTCCAGTACGCTCAGCTAATGTCTGTAGAATGAATGAACGGACTGGCACTTAGTCCTTCCTGCCATCTGCCCACTCTCTTTGAAACAATGGGCCTCTGAGTTGAATGGTGTAGCCAAGCCAGGGCTTGTGAACTCCACACTTCACACACGTTTTCCATCCTTCCTGAGGGTCATGGCTACCCAGGCATAGGGGGCCCAGGAGAAGCTGGAATGCGGTTTATAGCAGAGGAAGGGGGGCTCCCTAGAGCCCTGCCTGCTGCTGGCAGTATTCCACCTCTTCTTGGTCCTGTGCACACTCTGTGCATGTGGGTGAGAGCACGTGGCTGGGCGTGTGTGCACACGTGTATGTGTGTATGCTCTCTTCTGCTGAGAGAGATGGTAACGGCGCAGTGCATGCAGTGGTGCCTAGGGGCACGTGTGTCTGCATTCTGTGTGCACCCAGGCATGCTCGCTGCCACGTGTACGTGGACGCTGTCACTAGTCCCAGGGGGCCAGTCTCATTCCTGCCTGACACAAGTCTCAGGATCGTGGAGGCTGAATCAGGCCATGAGAGTGGGACACGGGAAATGACCTGGACCATGCCCAAGGGCAAGCAGGGTAATGACCCTGCACCAGCCGCTGTTTCCGGGCTCTCCACCAGCACAGCCCCTTGCTGTCAGCTGTGGGGAGGGAGAGAAGAATAGATGGGTCTTTGCCATTTGTGGGGGCAACCTGAAGACAACAGGCCAGGGCTGGGGCTTAGCTTGCCCCTCAGTCCCTGAGGCATGGGCGAGGTAGGACTAGGGGTCAGTGTCTTGACTCTGACTTCCAGCTGCCCAGTGCCACCTTCTCAGCACCTCTGGGCCATGAGCAAGGCCAATGCCAAGCTGGGATCCTGTCTCCACTATTCAGGGTCAGAGGACATGCTTTTTGCTTCTCCTCTGGCCAGACAGATGGTGGGAGGCCTTTCGGCACCGGACAGAGCTTTGGACATGAGCAGAGACCGACGCTGGCTCCGTCGTGCAGTGGTAACTCACTGTTCGAGAGGAGCTGGCTCCCACGTGGCAGCTGCGCTTCTCTGAGCACAAGTGTCAATGCCCAGAGTCTGACGTGCTAGAGGATTGGAGGAAGGAGATCATGGCGTGACCAGTCCCCGGGGGTGGGGGGGGCATTCTCTCTCTCTCTCGTGCATATGCACATGCCCCAACATAAATGAAGAAAACGTTTTTAAAAGAGCAGAGGCAGTTGGCCTTGGCAGCCTCTGCAAAGACCCTCCTGAGAAGGTCTATACCCCTGACTACCCCATAGGCAGGGGCTGCCCAGGCTGGGAGGAAACAGAAGCCCAAAGCTTATAGCTCTGGCTCCCAACAGAGCTAGAAAGTCAGAGACAGGATAAGACACGAGCCTCGGTATCCACAAAGCCTACAGAGCAGGCCAAAGTCTCATCACCAGCTTGGCTCGTACCTTCCACCAGGATCCAGAACTTATTGGCCCCCCCTTCCTGCCCCAGGGTAGCAGGCCAGCACTGCCATGCCCTCGAACTCTGGCTGGCCAGCAGAAGCACCTGCTAAGAACCCAACATAGAACTCCAGCCAAAGCTCAGGCTCTAGGAAGTGCCCCTGTGACCAGCCCAGCTTCCCTAAGAAGCCTAGACTCTGACAGGGAATCTCCCTTGGGCTCCACACCCCAGGCCCCCAGCCATCTTTGGAACTGATTGGCTATTGTCCATGTCACTGGCTTCAGCTCCCAGAAGAGGGCCCAAGATGGGGGAGTGCAAGCAGTCATTCCCTCTGGAGCTAGGGGAGGGGGCTGCCCCCTCCCCCCGCCCCCCACCTTATGACTCACTCCAGGCTGTGTGGGTTATTACATTATGTTTGAAATTGCCATGGCAACTAGCTGGCAATCAAGGGTAATTGCACTTGTTGTCAGGGCAACGGGGCAAAACCCATAGCAGCCATTCTCTGTGGTTGCCCTTGGGGTACAATAAAGGTCAGGCCAGCCCAGAGCCAATGCCAGCTAAGGGGCTCTGGGGCTCCCCACAAAGGGCAGATGGCCAAGGTCCATGGAGTTCTGAGTGCAGAGCAGGATGCACTTTAGGAGAGCCAGGTCCCCAACCCCATGCCTAGCCTCCTGCTTTCCCGACCCCACTCTGTGCCTGAAACATGCCACAATGCCCAAAGCAAGCAGAAGCAGAACTTTATGTGCTCACAGCTGGTACTTGTAGATAGCCCACGGGCCTTCCTCTTCGTACTCACGGCGTCTGAGCCACAGGCTCTGAAAGGAGTCCCGGGATGCCATTTTGGAACCCCCAAGCCAGGCAGCCACTGCACGGTGGGGAGAGCTCAGCACGGAGGCATGAGGGCCCAGCTCCTGTTTCAGGCGCTCGGGGAAGCCACTCAACAGGGTGCTGCCACCCTCCAGCACCACGTTGGCCAGCAGCTGCTCCTGCTGCTTGGCCTCCAGCCGACTGATGCTTAGGAGGGCTAGCTGTGGGAGGCCCGGCTGGTTGAGGCCTAGCAAATTAGGCTGGAAGAGGGCCTCGGGGCAGCAGAAGCGCTCAGAGCCCAGTGTGATAACCTGTTTATCTGGGAGCACAAAGTCCACCCGGGCCTGGGGGCGCCCCCCCCCCCCCGCCATATTCATGGCTAGGTAGCAAGCAGCCTCTTTAATCTGGTTGGCCAGCCCTGCCTTGGGCAATGACTGGCCACTTGCCGCCAGCAGCTGAGCCAGGTATTCGGTGAGGTCAGCACCAGCCACATCCAGCCGGTAGGTGTCAAGTGGGGCCAAGTCCCCAGTGAGGATGGGAGCCACATAGGAGGTGCCATGGCCGCTGCCCAGCACCAGCCCAGTGGTACGTCCACAGGCGTAGAGCGCCAGCAGGGCCTGATGCACTGTCTGCATGGCCGGCACATGGAAACGCTCGAAGAGGATTTCAGCCACCTTCTCTCGGTTGGTTCGTGGGGAGATGGGTGAGTCGGCCACGAGCACAGCCAGTTCCTCGGGCTGCACGCCCAGCCTGCAGTAGAACAGGTGCTGCCACAGCACCTCCAGTGCATCCCTCTCGGTCCTCAGGCACCGCATACCGGGGCTGGCCCTGGGACGCGTGCTGCAGCAGCTGGACTTGGGAAGGTATCACACTGAGAACGTGGTCCTCTCCAGCCAGTCCACACTTGGTGAACCCTGTGCCTGTGTCAATCACCACAGCCGCCATGTCCTCATAGGGGCCCAGAGAGTGGCGGTAGAGCACCGGTGACTGTACTGGCACAGCCTCCATGGTGGACACCAGCTCATAACAGGTCCCTCGGAGCAGGCCAAGGTGCGTGACCACAGATGAGTGTGTGACGTCCTCGGCTGTCAACTTGAACCGGCCACTCCTGGGGGAGCTGCCAGGTTGCCGGGATGAGACCCCATGCATGCTGAGACTTCGAGTGCTGCCCATGCCAACCTTTTCTCCACCCAGGTAGCCCCATGTCTCTTCGGGGGCTGGGGTCACTCGGAGTACCCCCATATTGGTAGACAGGCCCAAGGGCTCCCCTTCCTGGGTGGAGGCCTGGCCAGACTCCCCAGTGGTGGGGGGCCCTCTCGTAAGGGTGGGCTCCTTGATGATGGGGGGCTCATTAGAAACAATGGTCTCCTCAGTGAGGGGTGCCTGCCTGGTGAGAGAAAGCTGCCTGCCAAGAGGGGTCTTCCCAGCGAGAGGGGGCTGATCAGAAAGGGAGGGTTGCTTCTTGGTAGAAGGGGGTTGGCCAGGAAGGAGGGCCTGTCCGTTGAGGATGGGCTGGCCAATGAGTGGGGCCTGCCCAGAACCTTTGGCCTGAGGGTTATCAGGGTGAGCAGTGATGACCTCTTTCTGGTTGTGGCTGTCTGTGCCCTCTGGGGGCAGGGATCTGGGCACTTCCTGGGTACTGGCTGGTGGCACTGGCTCTGAGTTCATCCACTGAAGTTTCTTGGTCTGGGCCAAGGCTGCATCTGGCAACCTGGAGGAGTCCAGCTTCCAGATGGTGTGACTGGGTTCATTCTTTTCAGCATCCTGTTTGGGCCAGCTGGGATCAGGGACATGGGTCAACCTCCTCTCACCAAACTGGAGAGGCATCAGCAGAGGAACAGGCCCAGCGAGCACCCCAACCCTGAGTGGTGATTCAGTCCCAGGGGAGTCTCGTGACTCCAGGTTGAGCCTGGCCTCCTTGGGAACCAGGGCCACCTCTCGGTAGCTGCCAGATGACAGGCTGGAGGGAACAGGACTGGACAGCACAGATGCGGTGGGCCAGAAGGAGGAGCTATTACCCTCAGGGGAAAGGAAGGGCCTGGCCAGTGGCCGGGTGGGTAGCGTATTTTCAGGGGCATAGGTGGACGGGTGGCTGGGCATTAGACCCACCAGAACGGCCCGGGAGCCCATGGGGTCGTGGCATAGCAGCCCCATTCTGGTGCTGCCCGTGGCCATGTCGAACACCAGCACACGATCTTCCACAGCTTCCCGAAGCTGGCAGGTAGGGGCACTTGAGGGGATTGGCATGGCCTCCCTGGGAGCCTGGACTGGGAACTGCCCGGGATAGGTTACACCATACGGGGGCACTGGCACATTGGAGGAGGTCTTGTTGCAGATATTGAGGGGTTGCTTGTCTGGCTGAGAGCTGCACATCTCCTGGTTAGTTCTTCGGGACTTGGGGGTCCCTGGGGGCTCCAGGCCTGGTGTTGAACTGCCTAGCCCAGAGGTGTAGACCTGGGGCTTCTCCACTGAATTCTCAGGCTGTTCGAGTGGCCCCTGCCTCCCAGCCACCTTGTGCTCCTGAGCGTGGTCCGGGAACTCTTCTAGAGGAGGTGCTGGGATAGGAGGCCCCTCTTTAGAATGGAAATCCCCTTTGTCCTGGTGGGAAGAGTTGGAAGACTCCAAGAACACGGACCTCCCGCAGTCTTGAGGGAGGTCCTGGTTGGCTGTATTGGTGTCAGGCAGGTGGTCAGGGGTGCCAGGGTGTGTTTCAGCTGCAACAGGCATTGGGGTCCCACCCAGAGCTGGGGTATCAGCTTGCGCTGGAGCTGCAGGAGCTACTGGGAGAGAAGGAGCTGCACCTATGCTGGGTGCCTGAGCTGGATGCAGACCCTGGTCCTGGCCCTGATCTTGGGCTAGAGCCACAGCAGGAGTCGGAAGAGGACCTTGGTCTTTGTCTGCATTGTCCTCTCCTGAGATGAAGTAGGGCAGCCACCGACTCTTCCTGGTGCCAGGGGGGACCATCGGGTCGGGGCTGCAGGGACCTTTGCCCCACCCTACCAGGACCTTAGATGGGGCCTTGCCCTCTTCCCGAAGCCGCACCTGAAGCCGGGAGTGGCAGAGCCTGTGCTGGGCCGCGTCACTGATGCCGTCACTGGGCGTACACACCGGGAGACTCATGGTCCCATCGTCCATGACGAGGCGTGGCTGGGCTCCCACGATGGGTCTTGAAAACACGCTGGCGGTAGAGAATCTCAGGACTTCCTGGGAGGGCTGGTCATAGCCACCCTGGGAGCTAACCTCAGCTGGGTTCTGGAGTAGCTGGTGGATGGGCTCAGGGACATGGGCCAGGGAGACTGGGCAACAGGCCCCATCAATAATGGTCTCGGTGGACAACGACAACCCTTGCTGAAAGTACAGCGGCCCTGAGCTTATCCATGGTCCCTGGGACCCTCTGAGGCCACCCCCCGACTGCTGGCTACCAGCCGAGGGGTGGCCCTGGGGGCCCGATGGATTAGGGCCCCCCACTTTCTTGGTGGCTTCCATAGTCCTGCTCCATGCCCTAGGTGCCCTGCCCCCACCTTATTGCCATGGCAACCCTTCACATCACAGCCCCCAGTGACCTGGGGAATGACAGAGTGTGGGAAACCAGGGCCCCACCCCACTGAGAAATGGCGCCCTACTCAGGGAACCTGAGGAAGCTGAGGGGCTCAGGAACCCCAGTGAAGTCAGCCAGCCACTGGCCAGCCTCCTCTCCCTATCTGCCAGATAACCACTCTGTCCAGGTTAGACCCAGAATGAGGGCAGCACCCCCCGGGCAGGGGCAGCGCAAGGCCAGGGGAGAAGGTAGGCCAGGGAGACTCTGAGGAAGCCCCTGGCACTAGGCCCTTTGGGGGGTGGGGCAGCAAGCCCCTTTACCACTCAGTCCTGGGAGGCAGAAGAGGGTGAGGAGCCCAGCTTAGGCCCAAGCTCCCCTCCCCTGTGTTCCCCGGCTCCCGCTCCAGGGACAGCAGCTCCTTGGCAGTCTCTGCTGCTCCAGATGGTTCTCCTCTGTCTATGCCTCACAGAGCCCCCTCCCCAGAGCCACATGTCCCCGGAGCCCAGGACCAGTATCTGCAAGGGTGGGGATGGGGGAGGCAAGAGTGGAGGTGGCAGGGGTGGGGGTAGGGCCTTAGCTGAGAATCCTCAAGTCAGAATATTCTAGATCTTACCACATTGTGTCAGTTTCACCTTGGTCACATGGAGGGCAGAGCACTGGACACAGGACTGGGCCACAGTGCCACAGTACCAGCCAAATGGCAGTTACAAGAGGTATGGTGGGACGTAGTGGGCACCGGGCTAGCCACGCAGTGGGCACAGAGCTGCGTAAGAACAAGTTGGACAAAGGACTGGACACAGGGGAGGCACGTGGAAATGTGCATTAGAGGACCAGGTGTGCAGGCCCAGCCTCCATTGCCGAGGTGGGGAACTGACGGACAGAGAGGAGCAGGTCCCGCCTGGACCACCAGCACAGGTGCAGAGCTGCCCTGCAGCCAGAGGACAGGCCTGGGCAGCAGACTGGATAGCTGCCCATTGCTACAGCCCAGATCTGGTGGTTCGGACCTGGGCTGGTCAGGCCCTCCTACCTCCCCCCAGCTCCAAGCTCCAGGCCTCTCTCCTCTATCGTTCAGGGCTATGTCCTTCCAGGCCTCAGTTTTTCCACCTAGGAAACAGGTCTGTGGAGAATGCGGCTCCACGCTTGTCCGCTGAAGCAGTGAGTTTTCACAGAGGTTAAAAATAGTATTTGCAGCTGGCCATGGGGTGTGAGGCTGTGTGACCAGGGACTGAACCTAGCACTGCTGTATCTGCGCCTTTCTGACTCGGCACTGGGCAAAGCCTGACTCAGCTGCATCTCAGGCCCCAGGCCCCCTCCTCCTTCCCTGGATTCTGCTCTGGTTACAAAAGGTGACAGATGAGGGCCAGCAGGTGGCATGCTGGTTAGGGCACTGGACTCCCACAGGTCTGACTGTGGTTTGAGCCCCAGACCTGGTGGCTTAAAGATCATGCTGGGCCTGTGTGCTCTTGTGCCCAGGGTCCTGAGAGGAGAACGGAAGAAAAGAGGTCGTAACATGGCCATCCTCCCCTGGGGCGTGATTTCTCATTTTCCCTCTCTGTCTCTGGTGAGCACGTGTACCCTATGACAAATAAATAATAAAAATAAATAAGGACAGATGCTCTGGATGCCAAGAAGGAGCCTCTCACCTTTATACAAAGACCCAGGAAAGTGGCAGGGCCCAAGTATCTATGCCCACGTATGGGCACGCACACACTGTGCACACACGTATTTGCAGAACATGACCAGCTTTATTACCTCTGGCTCAAGCAAGCTAACTTTGAGGAGTTTGGTTTTAGTCTCCCCGCACCCCCAGGATAGTGATGCTAATAGGAACCACTAGTGTCTGCAGCCTTGGAGCTGGGCTGAGCCTGGGAGGGGTGGGGAAGCCCAGAGGGAGGCCCTGACAGTTCCCAGCCTACCTGACCCTGAGCCTTCCTCTGTATCCTTCAGACCCTCCTATACAGGGCTGGGGCCTTTTGTGAACAGCTGGCTGGCTCTCAGGTCTCTCAGGAAAAGAGAGTAGGGCCAGCCAGTGGCCTGGCAGTTAGGGAGGCTGGATCCCACATGGCTGACCACAGTTTGAGTCCTAGACCCAGATGGTCCATATTAAAAAATATGCTGGCATGTAAAGATACATGACCCAAATCCCCCAGCGCCCAGAAAGGGCAAAGGAAGGAGAGGTGGAGAAGGCATTTCAGAGTGACCATGCCCCATAGGGGGCACTTTCTTGCTTTCTCTATCTCTCTCTCCCTCTCTCTGTCTCTCTCCAGTGAGCACACATGCCCTCTGGCTAATGAAGGGAAAACATGCCAACCAGCTGCTATGGTGGTTGGGGTGGCTGGATCCCACAAGGCTGACTACACAGTTCAAGTCCCGGACCACAGCTTAGAAAACACGCAGGGCGTGTATGCATGTGTGCCCTAAATCCTGAGAGGAGAATGAAGGAGAAGGGATTGCAGCATGGCCGTGTCCCCTGGGGGATGCCTTCTCATTTTCTCTCCCTCTTTCTCCAGCGAGCATATGCACCCTATAGCAAAATTTAGAATAAAAAAGGCGGGGAGAAGAGCCTGCTGAAGGATCTGGCCCATGAAGGAAGGCACAAAGAAAGCCACCAGGAGAGAGAAGGCATTTCTACCCAGGACGCAAGCACCTCTTCCAGTGGTAATGACAATGAGACTGCCTGGCTCCTTCCTCTGCCGGTGCAGGGCGGAGCATCTGTAACTCAGCTTCACGGAAATTCAGAAGAGCAGGCCACTGTCCTACCTTATGGTCAGAGAGGAAATCAAGGCGCAGGGCGGGGCAGAGGTGTCTCCGCTAGCGCGTGGTAGAGCCAGGACCCAGGGCCATGCTGGTGAGGGCCCTGCAGGAGGGGAGCCAACGTGCCTCCCTTCTGGGTGCTGCAGCCCCAGGCCGCATGTACGAGAGCTGTTCTGCACGGACCTGCTCCTCTGGAGAGCATCACGCGTAGCTCAGGCCTGGGTGGGAGCCTCTTTCTGGTTGGTAACTAAGCCAGTACCCTCTCAGCACCTGATGATGCTCAGTACAGCCTGCTGCCCACCCCCCGGGCTCAGGCTGAGTCCTTCGTGCTCAGAATTCTTGGCTAGCCAAAGTCCACTCTCATCTCATCCAACTGGGGGAAGGGACAGCAGGCTAGGGCCCTTCTGCCCAGCCCCTGGGGATGGTGCCCCTCTGCCCTTCCCCCTCCACGTCTTTAAATAGTCTCTCACCAGGAAGAAGGGCGTCCAATTCTATTTATGATTCTAGGAAGTGAGGAGGGCCAACATGTTGCCATAGAAACCTGGAGAGCCCCTCCCCCAGGCTGAGCCCATTCCCCAGGCTGAGGGCTATGGGGCTGGAGAGGGTGGCGAGGAGGAGGTAGAAAGAGTTGTGTGTCTGAAGGTGAGGCCTGATGGAGTCTCCTTTGTGTGGGCAAGTCACCGCATGGTGTCCCCTCACACTTCACCTCGCTCCCCAGGCAGGCTTGAGGGGAGACCCCCACCGTGTGCAGAGGGTCAAGTCACCCTGAGAAACCCTTGCCCCTGTAGGCCAACCCTCGCACCTAGGAGGCGTCGAGGATGGTGGAGAGGAGTCTGGAAGGGCCTCCTGGAAGAGGAGTGGGAGGCTACGCTCTACTGGGAGCTCCAGGGCCCACCGAGCCTCCCAGACCTGCTTCTCCAACACAGACCTATTTTGGGCTTCCTTGTGTTCGCAGGAGGCAGCTACCTCTGTCAAAGACTGCAGGAGGCCGGCACTCCTCCAGTCTACCTGTCTTTCCGGGAAGGCTCTGGATGCCTCCAAATCTCAGATCAGCAGGAGCCTTGCAGGGTTCCCAGTGTAGCCATCCGCTCGCTAACACAGCAGAAGCAAGACCAGCCTTCCCAGAGCTTCACCCTGGCCCCCCATCCAAGGGCTCGTACCCCGGCTCTTCCACCCTAGAGGCTGCAGATGGGCAGCATCTGTGTGTTCCAGCAAGGGGCACACCCCAGGCAAAGGCAGACTTCTGAAGAGCCCCACAGGAGCTGGGACATGCCCCTCTTGGTGCTGCTGAGAAGGAAAGGCCCCAAGGAGGAAGAGCTGCACTCTTGGCCCCTAGATCGATGCCCGGCGTTCTTCCATGCCTGTCTCTCCTGACCCTCTTCCCTGGAGCTATGCAAGGGATCCGTGAGCCCTAGCCCTCCTGCTTCCCTTGTTTCTTGTGCCTAGGATAAACCCATTCCATGGAGCAAGACCATTTGTTTTTTTAAAGTTTATCTCTCCCATGAATGGGAGAGATGGGGCGGGGCAGACAGAGACACAGTACCCCTTGACAGGGTTCTGAGCAGCAATCCACTCCGGCGCCAGCCAGCCTGAAGAGGGACAGAGACACAGTACCCCTTGACAGCCAGCCTGGGTGCTGGGCACTGTGCACCTGGTGTACGCAGGGAGGTCTCCGGACTTGAACTGGCAACCTTCCCACATGGGTCTGCCTCACGGGGTATCCTATTGTACCACTGTACCACTGTCTGGCCCCGGGACTATGTTTTGAAGGACCTGGTAGTGCCAGGCAGTGGCACAGTGGCAATGCAACTGGACTCACACAGGGAAGGTTCTGGGTTTGCATCCTGGAACTTCTCTGAGCACACTGGAGCACACGCATGCCTAGGATCTGGGCTGGCTGAAGTGTGGGGTGGTGGTGGATCAGATGGTAGAGACCATGTGGAAGGGGTGTATGTGTCTCTCAGAAGAAATAAAGCCGGGACCTCCTGCTCCTGGCCCCAGAGGAAGACAGCCAGGGACGGAACCTCAGCCCTAGAGGAATGCATGGCTGGCAGGGTGGGGGGAGATAATCCACTCCTAATCTGGGATGCGGAAGACAGAACCCACTAGTGCCAAGAGGATGTGGCTTCTCAGCTTTAAGGCACAGGGAAATTTAAATAACAGATGTTTAAACAACCTTCCCTGCAAGCCGGTGGTGCAGTGACCCCTCTGCTGTGATGTGTTGCAGCTTAACCGCTCTGAGCCCCAATTGACTCAAGCTTACGTAACTCTGCGTGAAAGATGGCCAGCCGCGCTAGCCCGGAGGGAGGGCAAGACTGCTGCCCACAGCTGGCTTAGGGGCGGGGCCGGCTCCTTGCCCTCCCTGGGAGCAGCCCCTCCAACCAGGAGCCAGCATAAGTGGGGGTAAAGGAAGCGCTGCCAGAAGCACCCATAGCTTCATCACTGTCGAGACCAACCACCACGCCTGCAGAGGGGATGTGAGAAGGGCTGCCCTCCTTCAGGACCCAGTGGAGGGTGGGACTGACTTTTAGAACAGACGACTGGGCAGAGACCAGGGCAGGAGCCCATGCTGAAAGGGCTGCTTAAAGGAGTCCTTTTCCCTTTGGAAGCGGGGGCTGCCTGGCTTGGAGGGACATGTCAGCAGGTCCCAGGAGTGGAGCTGATTCCTCTGGCCGCTGATTCTCCATGGTCCAGGCTGCAACATCCCAGGTACTGGCTTCAAAGCTGGTGGAAGCCTGCAATCTCGGCCACCAGCTGCTTCAAGCCCCCCGCCTTGCCTGATGCCTCTCTAGAACCCAGAGACCCAGTCCGAGACTGGCCAAGAGAGTGTGCAGGTGATCAACTCAACCAGAAAGGGGCAGAGAGAAGGTGGGATACCCCTGGCCTGCCAGGCTGAGCACCACCCAGGAGTCAGCAGGGGCCTTCAGCTCCTCCCACCTAAGCTTAGAGGAGGAGCCACCATGGGCCCCACCCCCGAGCTCCCGTGGAGCAACAGTGAGGCTGAGTTTGGAATGGGCTATCCCCAGAGCCTTCAGATGTGACCCCCCGCTCCCCCAGAGAGCCGCTGGGTCCCTGGGGGAAATTCCCTGAAAGGTTAAGGTCAAGGTTGAGATTCCCAAAAGGGAATCTCAGGCTAGACTCGTAGTCACCCATCACAACAGGTCGGTCTATGCCATGTGCCAGACGACAGTGACACCAATGGGCAGTCAGGAGGGTGTGAGTCATCTGTGGCTTTCTCGGCCTCAGCTCCCCTCTCTGGCTCCTCCCCTCCCCAGCCTTTGCTGGCATCTGCTTGCCCCCAGCTCCAGGGGGCTGCAGTGAGAGGAGATGAGACAGTGGAGTTGGCATTTGGTGGGAAGGCTGGACTTCCAGGCCCTGGGAGAAACCTCTGCTGGTCTCATCACACCCTAGTGGCAGGCCCAGGCCTAACAAGGGCAATAGCAAACTTCCCCCTGCATCAGTCATTCCCAGACCCGATTGCTACTCAGGGAGGTGGCCTAGCCATTGCCAGCCCTGAAGGCTCCTCAGAAACCTCCTGGCAGCCCAGCCACAACAACACAAGCAGGGTGGCACCGCTGCACATTGGCTGAGTTTGCATGGGAGGCCCAGGAGTTCCTGACCCAACCTAAACAGGACGGGCATGGGGGTGTGTGCTTGTGGTCCTGGCTTACTGGGAGCCTGAGCAGGAGGACTACGATGTGAAAAATCTTTCTCTCTCCCATAATACAGAAGAAAAAGCAACCTCCTAGTGCCCCCAGCCCATCCAGGGATCTAGAACGGACCCTCCTTATCTAACTAGACACCAATCTGAAACCCTAAAATGGTCCCAGCTGTGACCACGCCAGGACTTGGGACTCTCAGGTGGCTCTGAGAATGGAGCTCAGAGCTTGGGGGCTGCAGCAGTTGGGAGTGGAGCAGCTGTGTCCAGTCTGGGACCCCAGGTGCCCGCCTAACTGGGGCCCCTCCCTGGAGACTTCTGGCCCTGGAGGCCCTTGGCCCAGAAACAGGCTCAGAGCCCCAGGTTCTGGCTGCACAGGAAACCTGACACCCCTGAGCTCTCTCTTTCCTTCTTCCATCTCCCCTCTCTGGAACCCCTTTCCACACAGAGCTTTCCTGTCCAGGGTCCCCTTCCTCCCTGAATGGTTGAGCTGGTGACCCATGAGCAGCAGAAGCTCTAAGCCCCAGGCCCTTCTCTTCACCCCCCGCCCAGGGCTTAGAACTTTGGATCCCCCTTAGATTCCCAGGATGGGGTTAAGGGGTACAGACTGCAAATTGGAAGGTGGAGACGATCCCTCACACCTGGTACCGAGGACTATAGCTGTGGGGGTGCTCCAGGATACTCCACTCACCTCTCTCAGCCTCGGGAGTAACACGGCTGTCCCTGCACACAGGACATGGGGTCAGTGGCTAAGCGTGTACGGCCACCATCCATGCCTGCATCGAAGTATCAGAGGCTTAGTGACACCAGGCAGTCTCCCTGTGCCCTCCTTCAGCTCAATGCCCCTAATCTTTGGACCCCTGCACTTGAGCAGATGAGCTGCCTTTTAAACCTTATCTACGTTTCTCCAGAGTCCTTAGGGTCCCCAGGATGGGCCTAAGGTGACAGAGTGGGCAGCAGTATGGGAAGAGAACTGTGGGGCACCTCTGGTCCCAAGAAGACCCGCCCCCTTCCTGCTCAGCAGGGAATTCTTGCTCAGACCCAGGACAGAGCATGAAGCTGGGGGTTCAGAGGCGAGAGAACCTGTCTCCTTAGCTGGTGTCTCCCACCTGGAAGGGTGGAGGCCACGGGGACTGCTAGCAGGGAGAAACTGTGCTCCACGCCCTGGGCCTAGGCAGCCCAGCAGCTCCCTGCGTCAGAACCAGGATGTGAGGAGGGGTAGGAAGGGGGGCCTTGGCCTTTCCAGAGGAGCTTGCCCCTTGGGCGGCTATTGTGCAGTGGCCTTGCTGAGCTGTATAAATAGCTCCGCGGATGGCACTTCGAGGCTGGCTCCTTGGAAGTGTGGATCTGAGGCCTGGCAGCTGGCTCATCTCTCTCAAGGCTGCGAGTGCAATGCTGGCAGGGTTGGGGCGGGCAAGTCTTCATGTGCTGAAGGTGTGTGTGTGTGTGTGTGTGTGTGTGTGTGTGTGTGTGTCATGGGGGGGATTGCTGTAAGTGGGACAGGGGGCCCTGGAGAAATGCCAGGGTGGGGGCAAGCCGCCTGGGTGCTGGGGGAAACTGCTCTGGCTGCAGCACACTTGCTTCCTCGACCTCCCCCACCCCCTTGGCTCTGCCCAACAGTCCCCAGAGCCCTGTAACCTGGATCTGGGCCTTGTCCATCCTCCTGTTTTCTCGAACCTTCTTGCTCATCCAACCCCTTTCTGACCCCAGGGCCTTTGCATATACTGTTCACTGTGCCCCAAAACTCTCTTCCCCCAACTCTGCTTCTGGTGATTTTTTTGGGGGGTGCCTATAGGGGTGTATATGCTTGCTGGGGGGTGGGGGAGGTGAGAAACCAACCTCCAGGGGGATGGCCACATTGCAATCTTTTCTTCTCCATTATTCTCTTGTGATTTTTGGTATGCATGCACCCAGTGTTCTTTTCTTTTCTTTCTTTCCTTTTTTTTTTTTTTTTAAGAGAGATATTTTTTCTATGGGGTGCATACACTCACCAGACAGGGACAGAAAGTGAGAAATCAACCCCATGGGGAATGGCCATGACCCAATCCCTTCTCCCTTCTCCCTTCTCCTTCCAGGATTTTGGGCATGCATGCAAACATGCCCAGTGTAAGTTTTAAGCTGTCAGGTTGGAACTTGAACCGTGGTCAACTGCATGGGAGTCCAGTGACATAACCATCATGCCATCTTCTGGTCCCACCCAATGCACCTTTCAAGCCTCTGGGTCAGCGCTTGAACCTCACAGCTGGTCATGTGGGATCCAGCTGCCTTAACTTCCTCATCACCTGCTGGCCCTGCTGTTTTTATTCACCTGCTAGAGCTTCAGCAGAAACGTCACCTCCTGGGAGGCTCCCCTCACCTCTGTATTCACCTCTCTAAAACTGTCTCCTATGCCCGCCGAGCAGCCTTCTTTCTTTGACAGCATTTACCACAATTCGTACGTGAATATTCATTTGTTCCTTTACTGTGTCCAAGGCCAGTGTCCGTGTGGTCGTCGCTGAGTCCCCTGTGCCCAGCAGACAGTGTATACAGCATGTAGTCCATAAATACGTGTTGCAGAGGGGTCACGCTCACTGGCTCACTCCGTGTCCTGACCCTCTCCGATCCCCTCTGAAGGTTAAAGGGCAGGGACAAGGTGGAGGCTGCTGCCCTCCGGCCTGGCATGGCCTAGAGGCAGTTTGGGTTAGCTCCAGGCTGCTGAGTGGATCCAGCCCCACGGGCCTGCCCAGGGCTTATGTCAAGTGGGCAGAGGCGGCTCTGAGAGGGGCCTGGGCCGCCCCGTGCTCCTGTGTACAGGTGAGGACTGCAGCTGTTCCGGGAACACATTGGCTTCCCCCGAGACTCCAGGGCCCAGGTTGACATAGGCCACGGGCAGCTGTACATAGTGGTCTCCAAGCAGCACAGCCGCTACCCGCTCCACTTCCACCACTAACGCTCCAAAGCTGGGTCGTGCTGCTGGGTCCACCTCCCAGCATCGCAGCATCACTTGGTACCTGTGAAGAGGAGGGGTGTCAGCAGCAGGTGCACCTCCACTCGGGAATTCTGGGCCGCTTACCTGCTGTTAACTCCCGGTGAGCCACACAGGGATGAGAACAAGAGATGAGACCTAGTGCCCCATGTCGCCTAGTCAGTGGTAGCCCTTCTTATCACTGCTATTGCGGTCCTGTCCTGCCTTCTCACCTGGGCAGAGGTTAGATAGCCCTGGGGGTTAAGAGGTTGGGCTCTGGTGCCCTATGGCCTGGGCTGTGTGGTCTTGGGCAAGTTCCTTAACCTCTCTGTGCTCCTGAGTCCTCCTCTAATTACAGCACAGTAGAGGCACAGGATAAGAGGATGCTTAGGAAGAGCTTGACTCAGGGCCACGGTTACTGTCACATGCCTACTGGGAAGAAAGCCTGGGTCCATGAAGCATCGGTTCAGAGTTTTGAAACAGGAGCGCTTGGAGGACCAGTGGTGACGGGAGTGTTGCCTGCTGACGGCTCTTGGCTTGGACCCTCTCTAGAAATTGCCCTAGATAAATGACAACTGTCTCACACACCCTCATCAGGGACAGCCCCTGTGACCAGCAAGAGCTGGTCTCAATTTCAGAAAACTCTGAAGGGTCTCTGCAGCTCAAGCAGTCCCCAGGAGATAGGCTGTAGCCTCGGTGAGGTCTGTGTCACGGCCCAACCTCTCCTGCCCAGCGATGCTTCCCTCACCCCGACCTGCCAACAACCCCGACCCCATGAATCCCCATCTGAGTCTGTTCTGGGGAGCCCAGCCTGGAATGCAGGTGGACAACGAAACTGATTTTCCTCCCTTTGACCCAGAGCATAAGAAAAGTCAAACCCGTGGTGGGCAGGACCGAGAGGACGGGCTACACACACCCTTTCTGGAACACAGTCTGACCCAGGACTCAGCCGCTACTTTCACCTGTGACTGGTTTTTCCTGTTCTAAGCACACGGACCTGGGCACATCTGAGGCACGCTTGCTGCTGCTGCTGCTTCAATAATGCCTTTGTTTCTGTTATATTATTATTTTTTCCATTGCCAAAGGGTGCATGTGCTCCCCAGAGATGTGGGTGGGGGAAGCACTCCCCGATAAGCTGTGGCCATGCTGCAATCCCTTCTCCATGTCTCTGTTCTGCTATATTTTGGGCATGCATGCACAAGCACCCAACATGTTTTTCAAGCCACCAGCGCTGAAATTTGAACTGTGGTCGCCCACGTGGGAGCCGGCTCCCCTAGTCAGTAGGCTGCGGCCGGCCCTGCACACTCGTCCATGATGCTGACCTCGGGCCGTGCTGACAATGCAGCTGCTGCCATCTCTCCAGGAGTGGGGAATCTGAAACTCCACTTAGTAAAAAAATAAAACAAATCTGATCTGGAGATGCTAAGGGGGCTGGCATGGGAACTGCTGGAATCTTTCCATGAGATTAAGTGGGAAGATGGAAAACAGCCCTCTTAGCGGAAGTGGGGGGTGAGGAAGGCTAGAAATCACATCGCTGGCCTCAACCCAGACTCCGAGTTGGAAATACCATTACCATGGAGATGGGGAGATCCTCCCAGCCTCCTGCCCTGCATGAAGGCAGTACCCCACCTCCAATTCCTACCCCAACCTCTAACTCCAACCCCAACGCCTAGCCCCAACCCCTGACCCTAAACTTAACCCTTAACCTTAACCCTTAACTCTTAACCCTAACCTCAACCCCTAACCCTAACCCTAGCACTATCCTTAAACTCTAACCCTAACCCTAACACTATCCCTAAACTCAAACCCTAACCCTAACCCTAGCCCCAACCCCTGACCCTAAACTTAACCCTTAACCTTAACCCTTAACTCTTAACCCTAACCTCAACCCCTAACCCTAACCCCTAGCCCCTAGTCCATAGAAGAGAAAACTGAGCCCCAGAGAGGATCCCATTCCTGGTCAACCAGAGGATGAGTCAAAAAGCCAAGCAAGGGCTCCACCCCCTCCCATCCTCATCTCTCGGGCCAGCTCTGCCCAACCTTCCCCCACTACTCACAGAGAATTGGGGCAATACTCAGGCTGGGGCAGGCGCCGACCCTGAGTCAGGAAATGGGGGAGGTCGTAGGGGTCAACGTGGGGATATGGCGGGGCACCCCGTGTCAGCAGTTCCCACAGCAGCACACCGAATGACCACTGTGGGAATAGAGAGGTGGGAGTCAAGTCTCACCCCATATTTGGGAGGAAGTAGACTCCCCCCAAGGTCCTCTATCTCCTGGAAATGGGTACCCCACCTGCCACTTGGGGCTTATTCCTCAACGTCTCACAGTGTCTTCCTGCTGTCTCCCCCCACCACCTTGGCCTGCCCAGAAGCGGGGCAGTGAGGGTGCCCTGTCTGGGTTTCCCTGAGCTCAGATCATCTGGAGCTGAAGGCCAAGGCTGAACGTGAACTCAGGGCGGGTGGGGCCTCACCACGTCGGACTTGGTGGTGAACCTGTACGTCTGCAGGCTCTCCAGAGCCATCCACTTGACCGGTAGGCGAGCGTGGCGGTGCTGCTGGACGCTATAGTACTCCTTATCCAGGACGTCGCGGGCCAGACCAAAGTCAGCCACCTTGACTGTGAATGACTCGTCCAGCCTGGGGGAGAGGGAGGAGCGCACATGGGACCGGCCCCCACCAGGCCCAGAACCCACCTGTTACAGGCTCTTACACAAGTTCAGAGCCACAGTGTCCAGTTCAGTCCTGCAGTGAGCAGACCAAAAAACCTGAGGCCCAGAGAGAGGAGGACATGCCCAGGGATGCTCAGCAAAGGCAGGAGCAGGTCCCTCTCCAAGGCAGCCACTGGCCGCTGCCAATCCTATGCCCTGCCTCTTGCTTTCCCAGCTCCTCACATGCAGTTCCGGGCAGCCAGGTCCCTGTGCACAAACTTCTGTTCTGCCAGGTACTCCATGCCACGGGCTACCTGCAGGCCGAAGCTGACAAGGTCCTTCACAGTGGGGTTCTGGGGGCATAGGGAGATTGGTGGGTAAAGGCTGGGCAGCTCCATCCCCAATTGCGGCTCAAGGCTCCCACCCCAGAGCCAGCAGAGCACTGACCCGCTGTGGCGAGCGGATGAAATGGAGCAGGTCTCCATGGCGCATGTACGGCAGCAGCACCTGGGGCCGGCCCCCCCGCGGCTTAAGAGCCAGCAGAGCACTGACCGGCTGTGGCGAGCGGATGAAATGGAGCAGGTCTCCATGGCGCATGTACGGCAGCAGCACCTGGGGCAGCCCCTCCGGCGGCAGCATGATGCCCACGAGAGCCAGCACGTTAGGGTGGTGCAGGCCCCGCATGAGCAGCCCCTCTCGCAGGAAGGCCTCCACCTCCTGCAGCTCCGTGATGCCTGCAAGGGAGGCTTCAGTCAGACAGGGCAGGGCGGTCCTTGACAAGGGTCAGATGACGAAGAAAGGGCTCCCATTCAGGGCCACTTGGTAAGGTGGTGGCACAGCAGGAACAAGGACCCTCCCAGTCTGGGACTCTTCGCCCACCCTTCCACTTACGGCTCAGTGACTTGACAGCGCAGTGGATTCGATTCTGGGCCTGGTCCGTGTACTCCCCGTGGTAGACAACACCAAAGTGGCCTGGTGAGAGAGAAATGGTGAGAGTGGAGAAGTAGGGGACCTCTTGGGCCCCAGTGTTCAAGACTTACATCCTCCTCTTCTTGGCAACCAACCTCAGAGCACCAAACTGGCTCCTCTGATATCATAATAAACTAAGCAGCAGCCGCATGATGGCAGACCCTGCAGCCCTCCCGTGCCCACTTAATCCACGTTAGAACCCACTGATAGAATTCTTCTAAGCCTTGTTTCCCAGGGGAGCCAATGGAGGCTCAGGTTAAGGGGTGTGTCCCAGGTCACACAGATTTGTGAGCAGGTCAGCACAGACTCTGGCCCACCTCTCCCTTGAGCCCAGGTCACCTAGGGACTCCACCTCCACCCCAGCCCCGTGTGGCCCCCACACCTTTGCCAATGACTTGGTCACTGTGGATGACCACCCGCTCATAGGGAATCAGCACATCCTTGACCTCAGCCAGGAGTGCCGAGTCCAGGTCCTTGAGCTGGATGGACTTGGTCCGCAGCAGCGGGACGCGGGACCCATCCCCACTGTCTGGGGAGGATGCTTCATGGTCCAGAGAGCTGGAACCCAGACCGTCAACGGCAGGCAGTCCTGTGGGGACAGCACGTTAGGGCCTGCAGAGACAGGGGGCGGCTCTAGTCTCTACTGCCTCCACCATCTCACCGAAGTCACTTCTGTACTCAGAGCCCTCGTGGAGCGTAGGCAGGGTCACAGCTCCAGCAGTCCGGT